TGCAAAAATCTTAGAGGATCGTAAGACTGTAGACAATAATAGACATAGATGGGTGATGGCATGTAGGAAATTGAAAACTAATCCAACTAGTATCAGATGAGAAGCCAAATGGTTACATTTAATTGGACTTGTGTCTTGGGAAATGAACTGCAGAGTTTCGGGACGTTAAAATTAGATGGAATGGAAGATGACAGTATTGACATGATTAAAGTAGTAAGGTTCAATGGGAAACAGGCAAGCTGGATTTGACGGAGGGAGATAAGAAGGCAAAGAAGTCAAGTTGAATTTTCTTAAGATGAGTGCCTTTATGGAGAAGCTGATAGGAAAACAGTTAGGAAATTTTGACAAGCAGCTTGGCATTGTTCTTGATTGTGTGGTATTGACCAAGTAGAGGCGTGGGTGTTTGAAAAAGGCGAGATGCTCAAAACTTCAAGTTTCCTGACTGGGTTACTTCAAATTTTCACTTTTTTTTCCATTTTGAACTGGCAGTCAGTCCTAAACTTTTTGTATGTTTGAATTTCAGATTTCCAGAGCTTTCTGTTCCATTTTCATGATCATTTCAAACAGGGAAATAAATAATTGATCTTGACATGGAAATAAGCCAAGCCCGCCTGTGTATGTATTTGTTGGTGGGGGTGGGAGGAGGAGGAGGAGGAGGAGGAAGAGGCCCGGCAGAAAATGGGGGACAGACGTAGTTTCTTGAGGCGCCATCATCTGCCTGTGCTGAGGCCCTGGGAAGGAAGCTACTGATCAAGAATACTGCATCGGCGGACGTCCCTCACCGGCTCGGAAGTATTTTGACAGGAGTAGCCGATCAGTATCTCCTCCGTCCCCACAGGGAGGAGAGAGTGAGCGGCGGATCTTTGGCTCGAGTCCAGGGTTGCGGCCGCCATTTTGTGGCGCTGTCGCCCCGACCGACGCGCGAGCGCATGCGCCGCCAACGGAACCGAGGGAGAGGTCACGAACTCTGACCCGCGGCGGAGCCGAGAATCCGGGGGGAGGGGGGAAAAGGTTCGGGGCTTTTCCGCCCCGTTTGAAAATAACGTCTCAGGTAAGAGGCGGAAACAGCGCTCGAACTCTTCGTCCCGAGCCGAGCCCGAGGCTCAACGCCCAAATGGCGGCGGCGGTGGCCGCTGTTGCAGACATCCGACAGGCGCCGCCCCGCCGAGGCCTCGGGGACTTGAAGGAACCGGGATCCAGAGTGGGCCTCAGGCCTCGGGCCTTCTCTTTCCCCGTCGGAACCGGAGCGGCAACACCGACTTCTGAGCGGTGTGTGTGTGTGGGAGAGGAGAAGGAGGAGGAGGACGAGGTGGTGGTGGTGGCGGCGGCCGAGCTGGATTATGGAGAGTCCCGGCCTCGGGCCGCCTTTTGCATATCTGACGAAAGCGGTTCACCCCCTCCCGGTGACCTTTCACCCAGAGCAGCCGCAGCTCCAGCTCCGGCCCCGGCGGCCTCGTTGCCGCAGCTACATTCCCCTCACCCCGATTCTTTTCCCCCTCAGCTACTAGCCTCTGCCACTTCACTCCGCCCCGCCAGGCCGGTGAACTGCGCTTCCTTCTGCAGCAGGCAGCGGGTTCGATTTAAGCTGCACCCCAATGCGGAGTGTGTGCTCTCCCGCGAATGCAGCCAGTCCCTCCTGAGAGCTCACTTCCTCTCGAACAAACTCCAACTTTCTCTTAGAATTGATAGTCCTTGTGTTTTATTTTTTCCATTGTTAATTTACCGAATAGTCACCACGGCGAGCCGCTGCCCGAGATCATGTCAAGAGTTTGAAAGGGATTGGGAGCAAATGTAACCTTTTGGTTGTTGGCTGTTTGACAACAAAAGAGATTGAAAGGCTTTTTTTTATTTTAACTATATGCAAGAATGTATGGGACGTGATCTGGGTTTATTTAGTTGCTGTGAAGGATGTGCGAATCTGATGTGAAAAATTAACAATTATAGGGAATGAGTAGGGGAGCAGTTGGCAGGTGCAGGATGGGTTATGGTGTACCATTTTATGATCTCAGTTGTCGTCGTTGTACAAAAGAAAGGACCTATGAGGCATTGCAAAAAGAGCTACCAAAATTGAGGATTTGGTTCGGTTAAGCGGGAAGGATTGAGATTGAGTAAGCTCAGGATGTCATCCTTGGAGAAGAGAACACAAGGAAACCTGATCTGTAGAATTATGAAGTTTCAGTAGAGTGAACAGAGAGAAACTGTTTCCATAATGTCAAATTCAGTCACTAACAGCAATTTAATAGTTGACATTAAGCAGTGATTCTTCAGAGTGACCGCTTGGAAGACTGTAGTATCAAGTGGTTAAAATAAACGACCTTCATACTTTTTTATACGTAGATTTGATACAGAGATGAGGATGAAGGAATGTGGAGACAGGTCAGTGGGAGGAGATTTATGTGAAAGTAAATATTGGAGCAGATCACTTGGGCTGAATACTTTGTATTTGTGCTGTATGTGTGTTATTGGGTGATATGTTCTATCCAATTGTTGATACAAGTGTCATGATGGGCACATTTCAATATCTAATTTATGTGATTCAATCACACGTCTGAAATGCAGTAATATTTAGGATTTAGTTTATTGCTTATTAAAAAGGAACTGCTTGTGAATGGGTGTGTTTATGTCAATGTCAATGTTTCTGTCAATTGAAATATTGCCCGTTGGTCATTAAACTTGGATTACAAATTAGCAGTTAGGAAATGGTTTAAAGCTGAGTATGGCTGAAACTCCAGTGTAATGATGATGAATTCTCCCTTTGCTTTGAAGAATGAGTGTCCGACAGAACAGTTGGTTTGTGTTACGTGTCATCTTGTGTGTTCTTAAGCCAAGCCGCTATAATCAATTATAAATATCGGATATAAGTCAGTGTTAGAGGAGTGGGTGGAAATATTGGCTTAATGCTGTGCGCACTTGTCCTGAAGGCATTTGACTTGATAGCAACAATTTCTCCAGTTGGGTTTGTCCAAGATTACAAGCTCTGCGGTTGGCTTTGAGTGTCTTCATATCTAGGCTTATATCCTTGGTGTGGCGCCTTGTGCTTGGTTGACTTTAGAATATTGTCTTTGGTATCCAGGAATCCTCCATGTGAACCATATAATACATTGAATCTGAATTCTGATGAGCACTCACTCAATGCCAGATATACAACCTCTATGTTGAAGATTTTGTCCTACCACCTGATGTTGTAAATAGATCTCGGACAGCAATAAATCTGAAAGAAAATTCAGTGACACTTCGGCTATCATGACATGTAATTTAATATGTGTGCATTTAGTGTTTAGGTAGTGAGGATTTTGTCATTCACATTTCATATGTTTTGATTATTGACAAGGAAGCTCTCAGCTAGCATATGGTCCTAGGTGCAAAGGTCTCTTCAGAGCAGCAGAACCAGCTAATGCAGGCTGTGAATATCAGAGCTAGCTGCAGTGAAGCTGTAGGCTGCAGTGAGCTGCTGGTAGCAATGCATTGAGACCTTGGATAACCTGAAGCTTCAGTTATTTATATCTAAATTTGTTGATGTGTCCACTCTTGGAACGTGAATTAGTTGTTGCTGGAGTCTGCAACTAGTGACCTTCACACTGGCACTTGCAATATTGCTCCAACTTTAACTTCTCTCTCCTCGCCAAAGTTTTTCAACATAGTATCACCTCCCAAATCCATGCAGTCTTTCCAGGAACTTTACATTTGAACAAACCTAATCTTGTTTATGTCCTTGTCACTGCATGAAAAAAAAGCCCTTATCAAAGTCACAAATGGCATTGTATGTGACTGACGATGGTAAACTTTCCTTCCCTTGTCCTCATTGACCTAACTGCAGCACTCGATAAGGTTGACCACATGCCCCTGTGCTGCTTACCCAGCTGAATAAAACTGCACTTGCCTGGTTTTTTTTGATACAAGGTATCTGTTCAATTCATCTACCATTGGTTTTGCATTGTTAGTTCCCTGGACATGGTCAAAAGCGAGCCACTATTTACTTGCAGAAACTCATACTGTTTTCATATTTCTTGTACTCTATGTTCTCCCTCCTTATTAATGTTTTGGTCATTCTTAGCTTTTTTTTTTATATCCTATACAATCTTCTGACTTGCCACACACATTTGTGGAATTATGTACACTTTGTCATTTTCATTCTGTCTTTAACTTCAATTAGCCACAAATGATGCAAGTTCTGTTGAAGTCTGTCTTTTTCACTGGATTGTACCTTATCTGAGTATTCTGAAATATCTCCTTGAATGATTGCTGCTGCATCGCTACTGATTTTTTCTGTTACCCAGTTTCTATTAGCCAGCTTTGTCTTCATGCTGTCATAATTGCCCTTATTTAAATTTTTAAAATACCAGTCTTAGATCCACACTTCTGTTCCTCACTGGAGTTGATATTCAGTTGTTTTATGGTCATTGTTATCTGGGGGCACCTACACCACACCACTTTCATTAATCCTGTGTCATCTCATAACCTGTTGTCTGACTATGAAATGTGTTCAGAACATGCTACTCTAAGAAACTGTCCCAAAAATACTCCAAGAACTCATCTTTGCAGAATTATATGTTTTTTGTTCTTAAAAATATACTGGATAATTTCTGTTGGTTATTGGAGTATTATCCAATTAAACAATAGTCAGATTCAGGGATTGTTCACACATGCTGGAAGAAAAACATGTATCTCGATACCCCGTTCACAACAGCAGAACAGCTTGAGTAATTAGTCGCTGGTGAATGCTTTTGAAGTGTCTTGTAGGAAAAGTAATAGTCAAGATACACATACGTTACTACAAATTACTACTAACAATGAAGTAACAAGATTAAGTTTAATGTCCAACTGTGTGGCATTCCCTCAGTGGAGCATTAAGTGCCAGCCTTTGCCATCCTGTCTTTATTTTTTAGAAAGGCTGAATAGCACTAAATAACACCAAACTGGTTGAAAAGGCAGAATATAATACAGTAAAGTTTTTTTTAAAGAAGTGCCCCTTAAGATATGGGCAGCAGTGTTTTGAATGAGCTTAAGTTTATGTACGATGGAAGATGGGTGACGATCCAGAGGAGCATAGGAATCTGTGGATTAGAGTTTCTTCAGAGAATGAGCTTAAACAGGTGGAACTGTTGTGGAGGTGTTTAAGTAGCGGTTGTGGTGGAGGGGAACTGTTGGTTAGAAGCTCATCTTGAGGTCAGGTTCAATACCTTTTAATGCAAGTTTGTTACAGCCTCTAACTGATGTCAGAGATGAAGTTTGTAACTAGAAAACAGGGTTTGTAGTTGGGCTCAACAGGATAACGTTGGTCTTAGCAATATTTTGCTCAATTCTTGCTCACCTAGTGCTGGCTGTTGGCCAAGCAATGTGACAAATCAAAGGCAGTGGCTGTGGTACCGTTTTTGACCACTTATTTGGTAATCCGTTTTAAGTGAGTGATTTACAAAATATTTATGAATTCATGTGGAAGTTACTTCCAAGGCCAAATATTGTTGCCCATCCATAATCGCTCTTGACAAATAGTGGTGCACCGTTGCCTTGACCTGCTGTAGGTACACATACAACATGCTGCTCGAAATGAATTTGCAGGTTTCCTTATTCCGTTGTTTTCTCCCTTGCTTCCATTAGCAACCTGAAATGGGAACGATTAAACCATAGAGGGATTTGAACACAAGGAGGTTGTGGACTTCTTTGTTCTTGATGGTGTTGGGTTCCTCAAGTGTTGTTGAAGCTGGACTCATCCAGGTAAATTGAGATGATTCCATTACACTCCTGACTTGTACCTTGTGGAAGGTGGATAGGCTTTGTGGAGTCTCAAATCCTGATCTGTTCTTGTAGCTAAAGTATTTATGTAGCTGTTCCTGGCTTGCCTACCACTTATCTCTCCGAGTCTAGATGATGCTCAAGTTTTCTGCGTTAGACACAGATTCTTACTTTCAGATGAATGGAGAATAGAACTAAACACTGCAATCATCAGCAAGTGTGTCCACTCTGACCCTATGAAGGAGGGAAAGTTGTTATTGAAGTGAATGATAATTTTGACCCGAGGATACCACCTAGATGAGTTCCTGTAGTAATATCCTACAGTCAGACATAATTGCTGGAGACCAATCTTTTTCTCTTGTGCTACATTTGACTCCAACAATGGAGTTTTCCCTGATGCCGTTGACTTTAATTTTACTAGATTTTCTTGATGCCACATTCAATCAAATACTGCTTTGAGATCAAGAGCAGTCACTCACCCTGTAATTCAGTTCTTTTGTCCATTTTTTGATCTGCGATTGATGAGTAGGTATTTATAAGTGCCAGTTAATGGCAATGTTGACAATTTCTTTCATCCCATTGCTGATGTTTGAAAGTACGCTAGTGCGTAATTGGCCAGATTTAGTTTGCTCCCTTTTTTTGTAGACTGAGCGTACCTTGGCAATTATCCACTTTCGTGGGTAGATGTCAATGTAGTGGCTCTACTGGAACAGCTTGAATAAAACGTGTAGCTAGCTCTGGAACATATCTTCACTGCCAAAGTGTAATATGCTTATTTGTTTAAGAATTACAGCAAATTTAACTGAATAATTCAAGAATTAGAGATACTTTGATGTATATTGGTGTGATTGTTGGTCAGTGGTTAGTTTCAGAAAGCCATGCTGTTTTCTACACCTGTTCTTTGCATTTTACGACAAAATGCTAAAAAAACTTCGTCAAACCAAGAAAATAAAAGAAAATTGCTGCACTTTTATTCTTTGAGGTGTTTGAGAATGTTAGTACTGTTATCTGACATTTTCAATTGAATGAGTTTGTGAAAGTGAGGTTCAGAAATATTGCCAAGTTAAGAATTTTGTACTTCTGCTTTATATATGTAATCAAAAGTCTTCAATTTGGTGTACGTTGAAATCTGTATTTCCATGTGTAAATCCAGAACAAGGATCACATGTGTAAGGTAGTCACCAACAGATCCAATAAGGAATTCTTCTCTTATCATAGCGTTTGCTGCCAGTAGAGTGGTTGAAGCATGTAGTATGACACATTTTGATATATGCAATATATATGTGATATATGCAATATATATATGATAGATGCAAAAAGGGAATAGAGGAACAAGAGAAAGGGGAGGTGATTATTTGGAGGAGCAGGAGGTAGAATATAAACTCTGCAATAGACCAATTGTGATGAATAGCGCGCTTCTGTGCTGCAGATTGCAAAATCCTGTGTATATTTGCTGATCATTCTTTTTATTCAATTTAAGAATGCTCCAAAGGAAGGCAGTGGTAATGTCACTGGACTAGCAATTCAGGACCCCAGGTTCTGGAGAATATAGGTTTGAATCCCACCAGGGCAGATAGTGAAGCTTGAATTCAATAAAATCTAAAATAAAGAGCTTTCCTAATGGCAACCATGTAACCATTGTCAATTACTGTAAAAATCCATCCTTTAGGGAAAGCAACCTGTTGTCCTTAGCTATCTGGCCTACATGTGACTCCAGACTCACGGCAAAGTGGCTGATTCTTAACTGCCCTTTGTGCAGTTAGGGATGGGCAATAAACGCTGGCCTAGCCAATGATGACCGCATCTCATGAGCACATTTTTTTAAAAAAAAGTCCCAAATGTAAAATTCAGTGCGTTTTTCAATGTAGTTCCAATTCAACAATGATCGATATTTGTCTCGGTTGTATTTTACGAGGACCATCTACTTGCAGCTTTAATATGACTTTAACATGAGTTTCCAACAATCTTGCTTTTAATTTGAGCCCTTAGTCTAATTTTTCATAATGCTCTGATTCTTTTTGATTGGATTTATAAAGTCAAGTTATGGATTACCTAGGAACCCACTTGGCTTCAAACTGTGTAAAGCTTGTACAAATTACTTTTTGTTTTGCTGCACCTCACATTTAATTTATTTCTTTTAGCTGCACCTGCCAGTTGAATTCCAATTGAATACATTGCAAAACACTCATTTTTGTGAAGTGCACTGCTTCAGCCGTGCCTTGGTGATGGAATGTTCTCACCCCTAAGTCAGAAGGTTGTGCATTTAAGTCTTGAATGGATGTAAAAGGATCTCACGGCTCTCCTTGGTAGTAATCAATGACATCCATTCTGAATCCTGACATCCATTCAACTGGAGTATTCCATGAATGTGGAGAGAGATTAAAGTCATTGTCATGCTGAAGTTGAGAAAACCTGCTGTGAACCCAGCTGGTTATTTGTTGATGTCTCTGCAGTGTAGCTCTTACAAATTCTTTGAGTAACTCTTCCTGTCTGTATGCTCTTTGTACTACCAGTCTTGCTCTTGTGTACTTGTCGGCAGAATGCTGCTGTCCTATTTGAGCAGAGAAAATCTACACTCAGTACTTGAGCACTGTCTTTCAGACTACAATGCTGATCATCAGTGGTACACTGAAATCAACTTGCATGCAATGGTACCCAGGCCTGTCTGATATCTCGCTTGCAGAACAAAAGAGTTGGACCACATTGAAGCCGAACCTACTGAATATGTGATGCAAATCATGCAAACCTTTCAAGAACTGTGAATGCTTCGAGTGATACAGGGGTTTTACAAAAAGGATAAATGGCTCCATCTCTGGGTTGACAACTCTATCGTCAATAAAGATCTAATGAATGATCCAGCAACAGGAACGGCAGTATGTGACCTCTCCCAAGCAAATTTATACGCACTCTCCATGCAAAGACATCACATCTCCTCCACAAGTAGAATTTCAAGGACAACCAGCATGTCAATTTACTTATCTGGATCAGACTGTCCACCATATTGTGAATGAATGTAGCAGACAAAAAAGTTAATACCTGAATTCCACTCAACAACAACAGTGGTGCAATTTGGCTGCCCATTTGGATTTAGACTTGTAAAGATATAAGTTGCAAAATATTCTATATCAGAATATCTTAAGCTGAACAGGGACAGTTCCCTGACGTCCTGATCAAAATTCATACCTCAGTTGACATCAGTAAAACAGATCTCTTTGTTGTTATTATTTGTGGGACTATGCTGCCATGTTTTCTACATTACAGACAACTCATGGTTATCATGTGCTTCGGGACATACTATGATTGTGAAAGATGCTGGTGTAAGTTACCTTATTGTGGGCATTTGTTCAATATTATTAACTTAGTCTTCGGAGTACAAGTATGCAGATTAAGTAATTATGTAAGGAATGAAATGGAGAATTTTTTTGGTTCAAAATGAAATCTCTTCACAGTTTCTCCTCTTCTTACCTAGATATCAATCTCTAACCCTATTTCATAGGCAGCATCCTGTGAGCTTTCATACTTCCTCTTTTCTGACTCAAACTTCCTTTGCATTTTCATTCCCTCCTGGGCAGTTCTAACCCCAAAGTCTAGAACGTGTTATTGACATACTTTTGTGTAGCTACTTACTTTCTGTTACTTTAAAGACCACCTTTGTAACCATGCTTTTGATCTGTTCTCTGTTGCTACTGTTTGGCAGCTGTTTTTGTTTCTGTGGTGTCTCATACCATAGTTAACTTTTATTAACAATACCAAGTCTGTGTAAATTGTTGAGAGCAATAATCTGATCAAATAGGTGCACTGATATAAGAGCAGAATTTCCCGGTATCCCAAAAAATTGGTTTGTTGTCAATGTCTGGACACCTGTGTTTGTAGCAGAAACACATTATTTTCTTGCAATTATGTTCTGTAATTCTAGCTAACCTTAGATTGAAACACTTTACTATGCTTTTAATGTTCATGAATTCTATTACAGTCATTAAATTGTCCCTGATTATTTATGACCTTGGAAATGGGTCACTGGAAAATTGCTGCAATTGTGATTTGTGAAAGGGTAATTTTTTCAACTCTCCAATTTTGGTACAGGCTATTGTATTAGATTATGCTGATAACAGAAGTAACATGAAGTGATTATATTACTGCATTCCAGTCAGCAACATTTGTTCTTTTTCCTAAATAAAAAGAAAGCTATGCATGGTGAAAAATCTGTTTCTTAAGATATGCTTACTAATATCTATTAAACGCATTATAGTTGTTTGCAGAATCACAGAATTGTTACAGCACCAATACAGGCTACTTGACCCATTGTCTGCAACAGTTCTGAATGATCATTTCACTTCGTGCCTATCTCCTGCTGTTTCCCTGTAAACCAGAACATTGTTCCTTTCTAGTCGAGTTCCCTTTTGAGTGCCTCGATTGAACATGCTTCCACCACACTCAGTTAGTGTATCACTTGCCACATGAAAAAGCTTTATTTCTTATCACTTTTTTGCTTCTTTTGCCAATTACTTTAAATCTGTGCCCACTTCCTCCTGATCCTCTCATGAGTGGGATTGATTTCTCACTATCTACTGCCCAGACATGTAGTGATTTTGAAATAAATAAATAGATATTAAATTAAAATCAACATGAACAATTATTATTGTTTAAAAGATTTAAAATTTGGCACTGTCTTAAATTTTAAGGTAAATTGAAGCACAGTCGGTGATTATGATCTGTGATATGCTGTTTGTATTTGTCAAATTGCAGTGTATTAGGAGTAAGCAAATTTATCAGTTACTAACTGTAAAATGTGATTTTCTTTTTGGCTGATTTTTAATGTTAATGTCACTACTAGTGGTGCAACAGTGTGCAGGAGCAGAAATTGAGTTCAATTGTATGTCCCTGCCAGCAATGAAACAACAGTTGCCCTTACAGTTGGAAAGTGCTTTTTTTTTGCTGTGAGAGAGGACTCAAAGAATGTACCCCACTTAATTTATTTGTTT